TTGACACTTTAAATGTACTTATAATGTGGCTACTAATATTATTCCAACTTATAAATGAGTAATCTGAGAGTTAAAGGAGTTAGTTACTTAACCAAGATCACAAAGCTTGGGAAATGTCAGAATTGGATTTGAATCTTGCTTGTTTGACTTTAAAGTACAGCTTTGAAGTCCTGTATCATATTATTTATTTAACTGACACTGGTCAGAAGCTACCAGTAATGAAACTTATTCAGAAATGGCATGTTACATTCTAATATTTCTCAGTAATGTAATGTTATATCAATTTTGCCTTTAGGTGAAGTTCTCAATCATTGTGAAATACCTCCAATCCTTCAACTGGCTCTGGGTGTGGCTGGTTGTGGTCACTTACCTAGGGCAGAATTTGACGAGTATTGGACAGAATCTATGGCTTAGTGCCTGGGCAAGAGAAGCCAAACACATGAATGAGTTCACAGAATGGAAGCAAATAAGAAGCTATAAACTTAATATCTATGGATTATTGGGATTAACACAAGGTAAAAAAAAAAAAAAAGTCCAGCTATTTCTCTTTTCTTTTTCTGGTCTAATTGATTTAAACACAACGTATGGCATCAAATTATTTCAAATAAAAATCTATGCCATAATATTCAAATATTTGGGCATTCCTCAAATGCATATGTTTGCTCTTTTTCTGATCTAATTGATTTAAACACAACATATGGCATCAGGTTATTTCAAATAAAAATCTATGCCATAATATTCAAATATTTGGGCATTCCTCAAATGCATATGTTTGCGATTTACCATATTTGAGAGAATAAACCAAAATTTGTAGGTGTCAGCTATATGGCCCACAGTAAATAATTTACACAATTGTCTCATTTAATGTTGAATTATTAGAAAGGTGCTATTATCCCCATTTCACAGCTAAGGATACCGAGGATCATATGTTAAGTCATGCAAGATTGAAAAGTCCTGACTACATGGCTTCTCACTACATGTATGAGGGTTGTGAGTGATGTGAATACTAATAGGTGAGTCTGTTAAGGAATTTAAAGCCTAATGAGCCTAGGTCAGGTGCACAATCAAATTGCACAATAAGCAATAATTGCTATAAAAGTAGTAAAAAAAAATGCATTGTGAGGATTCAGAGCAGGGGGAGGCTGTATTTGGTTGGGATATTATTGTGATTTCTAAGGTATACTTGGCATTTGAGTTGACACTAAAATGATAGATAGAATTTTGTCGGATTGGGATTTCAGAGAAGGAGAGAAGGTGATAGAGGCATATATTAATAGAAAGGTAGTAAAGGCAGGGATGGAGAAAGTAAGAAGAGATTTAGGCAGGAATATGGGTGCCACTTTGAGTGGTCTTCATGTTATTGGTAGGGCAGTAGGGGAGCTGAAGGGGATGATAGCTTGGAGACTACTATCATCTCTGTATAGTTGGAAAGACTTATCTTTGGGAAATTGAGGAAAGAAGTGGCATAGTTGGAGATATGTTTCAGACAAAGAATAAATCAACATTCGTATTTAAAAAATGACTTTATTAGCAAAACTGTAGTTGGAGAATGGAGAAGTTGCAGACATCAGGGAAAAAATAATCGAGTGTATCCAGAAGTCTAGGTGGGAGGTAAGCTACTATTGAAAGATGTCTTATCTGGTCCATGTCTGTGTTGCCCAAAGCATCTAGTTAAATGCTAACCAATGTATAAGACGCAGGTAGAGGACTGAACAAATACCTGATGAATGAATGAATGGTCAGAGAGCTGCAATGGGATTGGATAAAAGGATGGATAGGAAAGACACTGCAGTGAACACATATATAAGAATTGCTGATTAGAGGGTAAGAAAAGGGCATCCCTCAGTCATGATTTTGAGATTTGGGTTGGGTAACAGGAAGAGCAATGACGAAAAAAAATACGGAAACCAGGAGGAAGCCTTAACTGGTAGAGCAGAGAAATGCAAAATCCAATAAGAATGGATACATTTAATAAGAAGTGCTGATGCTTTCTCCAGTAGACAGATTAAAACTCATCTGGAAGTTTGGAAAGTAGGCTTCTTTATCTATAAAATGAGGGGCTTACACCAGATAATTTCTACAATTCCTCCAAGTCTTACATTCTATAACTCTGTAGTTCTACTT